CAAAAGATCGCCACTTGACGCCTGACATTCTGGCCATGATATTCTCTACCGCAGATCTCGTAATCGTGCCACATTCTCACACATCTCAATGTAAGCCTTCGCCGCCCTTCGACAATAGTCTTTATTCATTGGTGATAACTTCAATTGCTGCTTCGCCTCTCCTCGCAACAAATTTATTGCAGAAATACCTCTGTAAAAATTTTTATGATTACTATACGTTCATTTCTTGGACCTCGAGATCTTATTCCTCATTTTCGGACAGAAAATACAGACTAGTATTTTCAGGCAAAGAATAAGGAATGTCAGTTCGAGATCTTATTCCTTATTCTTAGCATGAAAATACTAGTCTGTACTTTCTATACAAGAATGAGGAATGAGATCTCGAGATCCAAGAAATAAACGTTCTCTATAGAATTCATATAAAATTGTTCATTAATAATATTTTTCGTATTCCAGATCGCGTCAGCAGCAACAGCCGAAGAGGCAGCCTCAGCAAAAACCGTCGACGTAAGTAAAATATTTGTATTCCGACTTTGGAAATCGTTTATTTCATGGATCTCGAGATCCTGATCTCCATTCTCGGACAGAAAGTACAGACTAGTAATTTCAGGCAAAGAATAAGGAATGTCAGTTCGAGATCTCATTCCTTATTCTTGGCATGAAAATACTAGTCTGTACTTTCTATACAAGAATGAGGAATGAGATCTTGAGATCCAAAATATATCTCCTAAATAATAGAAATAATAATAAAACTAATATTTGACTTACTGTTTGTTGATCATTAAAGCAATATAGAGTAGCGGCGAGAGATGGCACGGGTCTATGCGCCTAACCTCCGCCCCCTTGAATGAGGTCACGAAATTGCACATCGCCACGCCCTTGGGCCGGTGTTTCAAACGCGGCTTCGGGTCGCCGTCAAAAATCGGCCTCACGTACTGGTCACAAAGGGCCTTGATAGTAAAGTCATTCATTCGACTTCCATGTCTAACGTACAGATATCCTTCAGCGGTATATTGCAGTGCATCCACCATTCTGCAGGATACTAGTGGATGGCTCCGCAAAGTTCTGCCATCGAAGACTGTACATTGATCATTTTGTCCTTCTTTGGGAAAATTATGCCTACTAATGGGCCGAAGAGTTTTCGCGGAAGGCGTCTGCTTCGTTGCCAAGGCTGAAAAATTAAATTAGAACGAAATAAATAAATAATATGCTTGGTGGCACAAAGAGACGGGGAGGCCCCATGCCGAGAACTCAGATTGGATGTCTCGATCATGTTGCGCAGGCTCACTTCTCGGCTTGGTCGATACGACATTTAATCGTCATTTGTTTTTACTTTACTTCACTTCACTTTCCTATCTGTTCACTCTAGGGCTATACTGTAAAAATGAATGAGGAATAAATGTCGTATCAACCACGCCGAGCAGTGAGCTTGCGCAACATCATCAAGGCTATCATTCCTAGTTGTCGGTATGGGGACTCCTCGTCTCTTTATGCCACCATTCATATGTGTATTTTCATACCGAGGTATTTGGAACATTTATGCAAATTCTGCATTTACCTTATGTAGAGGATGTAAGCGAAACCAAAGAGCGACGATAGGATATAGGGCTTGATGCGGGATACCAAAGCCCCGTTCAACGACGTAACAAAATTGCACATGGCCAAATTTTTTGGCTTATTGCGAAGTCGAGGGTACTCGTCCGTATCGAAAATTGGCCGATAATACTTCTCGTTCAGGGTTCTCAAGGTGAAATCGTTCACCGAAGAACCATGAGGCACCACATCTCGGCCCTCTGCAGTAAAAAGCAGAGTGTCGACCAGTCGAGCGGAGACGACAGGGTGGCTTCGGTTCGTCGTGCCACCGAACATCGTTGACTTGTTGCTTTGCCCGGTCCTTGGAAAGTTTTTGCGGGAGATCTTCGTAAGCGGCTTCGGCGGATTCTTATATCGAGTCGCACGCTTCTTTACCTCATCCGCAAAATTCCTCAGTCCCGTTTGGACTATTCTTTTGCCGATTCTACCTGAGAAATAGATAGAGATTAATGTTTTTTATTAAGATTGATTTCAATAGATAATTAATAAGAGGTACACATAAATCCTGTTTAATAATTTTACCAAACATTTTGTTAACGCCAACTATGTTGAGCGCCGTGACGAGGCACGAAGTAATTCCCATCCCTCAGCACGAAGTGACCCGTATCGTCCTGTCATGCAAAAGGTTATGAAAAATTGCAAAAAAAAGAGAAGGTGAGATCGAGGGCGAAACGAAAACCGAGATGCGGCTTCACATTCCTATCACTTCACTCTAAAGCTGCAAAGACAGAATGAGAAACAAATGGGCGCAACACCATGAAGACTACCATTTTTTAGAGAGGAGATATTCTAAGCCTACTTTTTCTCATAAGAGAGATAGTCTTATGAGTTGAGCGCTTAGGTATCGTAGGGAAAGGAATTAGCAGGCTAATCACTGAATAATGAAATTAGTCTCAGGAAATTGCTGAGTCTTTATTGCGATTCAATGCTCGCGCTGCTAAGCAAGGTAGGATAGTGAATTCTCTTGCCGCAGAGACGAGCGAATTTATACTTGCGAAATTGGCTCCTTTCTACACTTGGTAGCCCCTACACGCTATTTTTGATATTAGCATAAACTTTGTACATGTTTTGTTGCAAAATGGCTCAATCAAAATTGAAATTTAATGATTTAAAAAATCAAGTATGAAATAACAAATTTTTTAACATAAATCGTTTTTCAAGGAAAAATCGCCTTTTAAAGGTATAAGTGATATAATTTAGATATTTAAATAACACAAAATTTACAATAAATTTTCGGAAAATTTTTACATAAAAAAATCGCTTGTAATTAGTGAAATATTCTTCCAAATAAAAACGATTAACTTAACAATCCAATTTTGAATAATAATTAAAAAACGAATTTGTAAATTTCTTTTTTAGCCATTATAAAATCAGCAAATGGGTTACAATCGTTATAATTAATTTTATAGATATATACAGTCGAATAGCTATCTAACAACGCAATTATAATTGCTTAAATAAATTATAAATTTTTTATTTATTAATAACTCAGTCAAAAATTAGTTATCAAAGTGTCAAATTCTTACTTCTCTGTTTTAATACGTTACGATCGCAATTGTATATTCGAATTTGCAATATACTTATTTGTTGCAAAATAACTAACACTATTTACTTGTAAATTAAATTAAACTAACAAATACATATTTAATGACTGTAATAATTTGAAATTCGAGATCAGCGCATCAAAATTGATTAAAAAATGCTTTTGTTCATTAGAAAAAACTTTGCAATTGTCAATTTTGCATTTTTTTTCTTTATTATTTACATTTTATTCTTCTTGCTCCTGGTGCTGGTGGTCGCTTCCTCTCTCAACCTTTTAATTTCTTCTTCTCCGCTATCCTTGCCCCAGTCTAGCGATCCTCATTCTGCGCAGCTGCTGTTTTGAGATTTATTTCTCCTCTGCAGCAGGCTCAGGGTTGACGGGTCGTGGGACGCTGGAAGGCAGAAAAGTAAGGGGTGCTTCCCTCGCTACTCGTTTGGGAGGTTTGGGAAGGGGCAAGTCAACCTGGGAGAACCTGGCTGGAGTCTGCGTTCGTTTGCACTCCAGCTAAAGCACCAGGTTACTCAAAGGTACAAAAGTCCGACTCTTCCGCTGAGGGATAAAATCCGTTAAATCCGAGAGGTCGGTCTGGGTGGCTATCTCTTTTTTGTAAAAGGCCATAGCCAAAAATTATCTGGTCTTACTTTCCGAATGCACTAGTATATATAGGCACGAGTATACGGAGAATTCAATTAAACATAATCAATCGACCTCTAGCGACTAACTATGATATGGTTTTAATAACGAGGTGTAAAATTTTCCTCGAATTCTTCCATTCTTGTAGCGGAGCAAATATGTATCCAAACCTATTATTGATTGTATTATGTATGGTCCTTCGTACAATTTCATGAATTTTTTAAATCGTTTTTCCGATTTATCCGTTGAAGTAAGGCTTTTTAATAATACAGCGTCGTATATTTCGTATGGTTTATGATTTGAATTAATATTATGCGCTAGAGCTCTCTTGTTTAGTTTTTCATGGACCTTTTTACGAAGATCCGTGATTTTGTTAGATACAGTCGGATCACTTGGGGAAAACCAGCGATGCCAAAAATGATCTGGCTTCTGTCCTAGGTGGATTTCCATAGGAGCAATTTCGGTTGTATCATGATAAATAGAGTTCATTATGTCTTGTATTTTTTATATTAGCGAAGCCCAACTTTTGTGGGATTCATGAGGATATGCTCTACTATGTTACTTTGCGGATAGCGTATGATAGAGAATATTAAATTGATGTTCATAGATGCCAGCTTTTCTTTCCAACTTTTCGACGTGAATTGAGTGCCATGGTCATAAATGATAGATTTTGGCGTTCGATATTTAGGCACGTAGTTTTCAAAAATCTTTTTAATGGTTGTGTACGTGGTAGCACGTCTTATTGGATACATTACGACGTATTTACTAAAAACATCGATGCTAGTTAAAATATATTTGACTCCTCCAGTTGAAGTTGGCAGAGGGCCATAAAAATCAATTGATAATAGTTCATTAGATTGATTTACTAAAATGGTTAATTTAATTGCATAATTGTATCTATTTTTTGATTAAAATACTTGGTACGTTGGCACAAGTCACAGCGTCAAATTACGCTCCTAACTTTTTTCCGTACTTTCGTGATATAGAAGTCTTCTTGTAAGATTTTGAAAATTTTGCGACATCCTATATGCCCGTACATTTCATGAAGTTCAGTAATTAAATCGTTAATAATTTGTTCTGAAAGCACTAGTTTGGTTTAACTATGTTCCTTTTAGAACACCAATTTTTCTTGGACGACAAATCGGTTGGGAAAGCTTTTTTGTTTTTTAATTTTATTAATGAAAGTATCCCGTTCTTGGAGATATGAAAGGTCGATAAAGTTTTTTAAAAGATGGTTCGGACGCGAGTTTTTCAGTATGTCCCGTGAAAAGGTAGTCCGGAGGCTTATGCGCTCGTGAGCCCTGCGAAATGATGATCCGGGCGCAAATATCTTTGTTTGCCCCGCGAAAAGGTAGTCCGGACGCATTTACGCTCATCAACCCCGCGAGATGTTGTTCCGGGCGCGAGTTTCTTTGTCTGACGAAAACATTCATAGTTGTATATTTTCGTCTACAGACAAAAATATACGACACTGAATATTCTTGTCTGCAGATAAAAACATTCAATTGGATAATATTTTCGTCTCCTAGCAAATGACATTCAAATATATTTATATTTAGTTTATGTAAACTCCCCCCCTAAATAATTTATTTTAAAACACAAAAGTAATTAAATTTACAATCAGAGGGGGGGGAGGTGGTTTAATATTATTATTTATATTTTTTTTCAGCGTTGACAATTTTGATCTCGACCCTGCAAATCAACCATCGCGCCGCGTCATATTCTCTGCGAATTCCAACGATATTACAGAGTAAGTATTTGTTATTTTTTTAAGAATATTAATTATTTTCTTAAGCTATCATATTTTATTTTTTATATTTTTGATGATTGTTTTCAGGGAAGACATTTTAGGAACCGGCAATATCAAAAATATTGATGTTAACGATACCGAAGAGGAGGCAGAGGATATGGAGGAAGAGGAGGAAAAGGAAGCGGTGAAGGAGGAAGAGGAGAAGGAGGAAGAGGAGAAGGAGGAAGAGGAGAAGGAGGAAGAAGAGAAGGAGGAAGAAGAGAAGGAGGAAGAAGAGGAGACTGTACAGGGTGACGAGGCGGTGACTACGAACTCTCTTTCCGTTCCTTCACCTACACCTCCTGACATATCGTCGTCTCCACTTGCCAGTGACTTCCAGTCAACCCCAGTTGAGTCGTCTGTCTCCGTTGGGTCGACCATCTCTTTTTCAAGAAAGAGAAAAAGAGGCGGTAGGAAGTTGACACAACGAAAGAAATCGAAGTTGGTTCTTCCCCCAATATACAAGCCGGTTGTTAGGGATTTTGTGTTAATAAAACAAAATAAATACCCTTTGTGGCCGGCTCGTTTTATGGGGGAAAATCCGGTCACCAAAAAAAGGTGTTTTTCGGTGTTCGGTGGTGATGGTTTGGCGAACCATACCGAATTCGTGTCAAAGAATTTTGTTTTTCAATTTAACAAAGAAGTCGCGTTGGCGTACGTTTTAAATTTTCATCGACGATACGCTAATTTATTGCAAACGGCAATTGAAGATTGTGAGAAGGCAGTAGTAGCTGTAGGGAAATAATGTATTCAAATATGTATCTATTAAGTTATTTATTTATTAAAAAAAATAAATGTTAATATATTTTGATTTTTTGTTTGTTTTCTTTAATGGTAGATCCTACGACTTCTTTCAAAACCTAAATTGTTACGGTCGGTAGACAACAATATCCGACTCTGCATATTGTCGTCCACAGAGAATAATATACGAAAGGCGATATTACTGTCTGTAGACAAGAATATGGCAGGTAGGATCTTATCGTTTCCAACACCAGAGGGCGCCAGAAACCGTCCCATTTCGGCATGTATAAGAATGGTTGCCTTTCCTGGCTGTTTTTGGGTGGGTAGGGGAAACAAACCACCTATCACAACTCGCGATTTGGGGTCACGTGGTAAGGAATCCGCTAGAGGTCACTGGAAACCGGTAACTAATCCGCCAGAGTGCGTTATTAATTTTTGAATTACGGCGCGAAGATTATTGCTTCTCGCGAATAGACCACAGCATTGAGAATTTTCATTGTTTTGCATATAATCATCTGTAGACAAGAATATGGCATGTAGAATGTTATCGTTTCCAACACCAGAGGGCGCCAGAAACCGTCCCATTTCGGCATGTATAAGAATGGTTACCTTTCCTGGCTGTTTTTGGGTGGGTAGGGGAGACAAACCACCTATCACAACTCGCGATTTGGGGTCACGTGGTAGGGAATCCGCTAGAGGTCACTGGAAACCGGTAACTAATCCGCCAGAGTGCGTTATTAATTTTTGAATTACGGCGCGAAGATTATTGTTTCTCGCGAATAGACCACAGCATTGAGAATTTTTATTCCATTTTAATTCCAATGCTCTTTTCTTTTGCATGATGTGGTCCACAGACAACAATATATGACTTTATATATAATTATCTGAAGACAAGAATATACAAGATTGGATATTATTGTCTGTAGAAAAGAATATATTGGTACTGTACAAGAATATTATTATTTATTTATATAGTTCTACATCATAAATCAGGCACAGAAGCGCCAGCATTTTTCGCTATCTGGAACGCTGCTTTAATTAATGATAGCTTAGACCCGCCATACAGCTTCGTATAAATATCGAGAACCTCTTTAAAAAAAAAAGTATGACGTTTCAATATTTCCCTTTCAGACGAAAATATTCATTTTTCAATATTTTTATCTCAGATGAAAATATTATTATGTTTTATATCCATCTACATCTCAAAAATCTCCCCATCCCTGATTTTACTTTTGATTATATTCAAATATATTTAATATTTTATTCTTCATCGTAAAAAAAATATATCGTGATTCAATTTTTCCGTCTCAGACGAAAATATTGTTATCCCTCATAGTCGTTTATATCCATAAAAGGCGTTAAAAAATAACCTATAATCTAAGCGTTGATAAGTTTTTATTTAGTATAATAGTAATCATGAACTCAAGCAGTAATTGTTTCCAGTCATTTTATAAATTATATGAAGCCCAATCTTATCTCGCAAAAAACAACAATGGAAAAATGATGATTATTAATGAAGAACGAAATCAAAAGGGTACAAGATTATATTATGTGATAGATATAGACATGTTTATAAATAATTATTTAACAATCCCGTATAAAAAACATTATTATGAGGTATAATTAATTTATTTATATTTTTATTAGATATTGAATAATTAATTAAAAATAAAACCGAAAAATTATATATTATAGGTTATTCAAGGCACATCTACATTTTATTTTGACATTGAATTTCAGACGAAACAAAGTACTTTGAATAATGGTGAATTATATGTGGCCAATTTGATCGAGTTCTTTAAATCATTTATACAACAATTATTACAAATTGAAGTTGCAAAAATTGATAGATTAGTATTAGACGCTTCAGATGCTATGAAATTCAGCAAACATATTATTTTTCACGTATATGTAATACTAGATGATCAACAATATCTTTTATTATTTGATTTACAAAATTCATTTTTAAAACAATTTTACAAAATAATGAGCAAATTAACCACAAGAAGTTACATTGCCTTTTCGTATAAGTTAGAAACAGTAGTTTTTTTTGCATGAGAGCTGGATATAAGGGTGGAAGATGCGATTGATCAAAACTTAATTGATCGGAGAATACTCAATAATATTTTCAGATTTTTTTAAATTCTCCGACACATTTCTATTCAATAAATTAAATAGTGAATAACATTGAATCAATATTATACAATGACTTTATTTTAGATGTATGAGATCTAGATTTTTAGTTACATATAACGTAAAATTAATGTTGAGTGAGTAAAATAATAAGAATGATAGTACTGCAGTTAATCTATAAGTAAGACTTTTGCTTTATTAAAATATTTAATTATTAAATTACTTAGAAACTTTGCATTAATTGCATTAAATCTGCGCATCTAATATGCTCAGGAATTTTGACGATCTATATCTTTATGAATTGTGACTTTTTCATTTTTCGCGATTCGAAAATATCGACGATATTTGCATGGTTTGCAATCTCGAGCAGGTTACAGCACAATAACGACGACGTAACTGCTCTTTCTAAATTTTGTATCTGGCAAAGACTCAATTCTTCCCACAAAGTCCTCATATCAGCGTAAAATTCATCGGTTTTCAGAGAGCTTCTGGCTTCGGGATGACTAACATGTAAAACAATTATATCCTTTTGTTGCTGCGTAAATCCACTGATCGTCAAAGGCATGTCTCTGTTCCATATTATTTTCTGTTTGTAATTTGGATCGGTAGCAATCGCTCTTCCCTCGATGTTCACTACCGGAGGAATATCGTAGCCGTCGTCGTCCTCAACAACCACTAATGCTGCTTGCGCTACGTCTGCAATATCGTTGTTGTCTTCATCATCGATTGATGTTACTGTCGATAGTGTTCGGGCCGCATGGTTCATACCATAGTCATCTTACACAACACTCTCGTCATACTCAATATCAGGCGGCTAATTTCCGACCAACATTAAGGTTCTTCCGTTGCAGGAAATGGGGAAGGTTCTCGAGGAAGTTGTATATTGCAAAGCTCCTCCAGAACAGCAATATTTTCCATCTCTAGCTGTCGTAGCAGTGTGCAGCAGCAGCAGAAATCGGGCTCTGCTGCTGCTCTGGTCACTGCTGTAACGCCGTCATTAGCATTGGCACCGGGTATATATTGGCGTCTATTAAGATGCTTCGCACGATCAGCTCTGCCGTGTGCTTTGCTCGTTCTATTTAATGTATTGGCATTCTTAATTATAAAATTTATTTGATAAACGTGAAGCCAATAATTCGGCGGATTTATCGCTTTGTAGCTGCAAGATAGAGAAATTATAGAACTATAGGAATGAGAAACAATCAATAATCCATATATAAAAATGGATAATAATTTACCTGAACGATAGAAAAGCTGCGGGAAATACTGTAATTGTATTTTTGACAATTTCCAAAAGCCGGTCATAGTTCATTACCCGTTGACCACCACATATCAAAAGCGCCATAATTCCGAAGCTATTGTGCGGATCTAGCAATTATTTAACTACGTCCATAGTGCTCGTATAATCTGCTATATTCCTTATTTTTTTATGCTTCGTATCATCCATATGACTAAACACCATTGTTGTAGTTTCTCTCTCGTGCCGCCTACCGAACTTAGGCAGTTTTTTTTATATACCCAAAACGCATAAAATTCGAGCAATTTTTTCTCGCTGAACCATGATTCGTTACTACTTTCTATTTTATTTAAAAATTGATAGGCTGCAAACGCAACTTCTGCTACATAATTGGCATTAGACATCCCGAGCTTCATCGTTTCAAAATTACGATGATTTAATTCCATACGAATAAAATCATCGCGACGTTGGAACGGATATAATAATAATAATAATTTAATAATTATAATAATAATTTAATAATAATTATAATAATAATTTAATAATAATAATAATAATAATTTATCAGCTGCTCGTTGCGGTAGCAGGAATTTACCTGTGCTCGCTTATCAGCTGGCATATTCGATATTGTAGCAGAGCAGTTATCCAGCAACGGCATTATTGCCGCAGTGCAGTGTTCGCGAAAATTCTTCATGCGAACAATCGCCTTTGTGTGGTGTAGATGCTTCACAAGTTATTCACCTTGCAAAATTATAGGCAACAGGTCCAACGCTCCATCGTCGGTAGTTATACTTTTTGTATCGAGAGACAGCACAATTTCTACACGCAAGTCCGCTCCACCGTTTTAAAGTCCTTTGGCAAACTCTTGACAACTTTTGATCTTCAATTCACCTGCCAATCGAACAACAATATTTGTTTGATTATTTACTACTACTAAAATCGTAATCATCAAATTAAAAGAAAATTAAAATTACAAGGGCTTCGACAGATTGACACTAATTATTTATGAATATATTTATATATTCACTTTAAAATATTAATCAACGATTTTTACGGTATGATGTAAAATTTTTAGAGAAATTCGTTGACTGAAATACTAATACAACTTAACCCATTAACGACCAAAATGCTCAATTTTTTTGTCGATTCTCAACGCGTTTTTTTCGGTAGTCATAGGCGTAAGAAATTTTTGTGAACATGTATTTGGATGGGAAATTTAACGCTCTTTCAGAATCTTTTTTCAAAATTGCGATTGATTGCATTATAAAAAAGTTATAGCCAATTAAACAATAAAAAACTGAAAAATGTTGCGATTTTTCTTAGCAATGTTACCGTTAAAAAATCATCAAACAAATATGATCAGAGGTGATCACGACTATCAAAGTATCTCCATGAATTTTAGTGGAATTTTTGAATCACTTCTTCCAACAAAATGGTGGCAAAATAAAAAAAAATCCATAAAAAGAATTTCTCATTTTTTATCTCGGAAACCATTAAGTTTAGATAAAAAGTTCATTGAACAAAAAAGTCTCAGAATTAAACGAGAAATACGCCTTAATTTGTTCAGAATTTTCCGAGGCGATTTTTGAATTTTCGAAGAATACGGAAAATCTATTTTTCCAAAATCATCTCCAAAAATTCTGAAAAAATTCATGCGTGTTCCTTTATAAAATCTAAGACTTTTTGTTCCATAAACTTTTTCTCCAAACTCAATAGTTTTCAAGATAAAAAATGTTCTACTCTTAGCATGACCCAGTGATAACGACAAGGACGTAGTAGAATTTTGTCTCCTTTGGGGTGCTTGATTTAAGTGAGTCCTCTTGCCTCTCACTTTTCGAGGTGCTTGATTTGAGTGAGTCCCCTTGCCTCTCACTGCAATACGAATTTCTCAGTGTTTTTTTTGAAACATTCAACACAAATCGATAAATCACATTTTTCACAGATAATTCTCGTTTTTACGGGACAATAAGAACAAAGTTTGAGTTTTGTTTGTGTTTCTCTTTTTTGCATTGTCTCTGCGTCATGTAATTTTTAGCTATTGAAAGTGCAAAATCTTTTGTTCCAACCCTTTTTTTCTCATCATTGACAGCATTGAATAGTACAATAGCATTTACAATCGAAGCTTGAATTAGTCTTAAAAAAACTACCCACGTCCACTTTTTTAAACGAATACTCGGAAGTAAATTGTTACAATGTCCGTCGTGGATATTGTAACAATTTGTGGACATCATTGCCACCCATAAAACTGTTATAGACGCTAATAGCCCTCGGAAAAGGTATTTCAACTTTTTTTCCTTCTCGCTTACTGTATCTTTTTGAAAAGGATAATGGAGTTACCCCTGCAGAGCAGTACAAATAATCGAAACTAGTTTTGAATCAATCACAGTGATGTAATTTATACCACTGTTCTTATCGTTGTGACGAGAGCAGGCCGTGTGCCGGTCTCTCGTCCGCGTTTCTCCCTCCCCCACTCGGCTAGGCGTGGTGGCCAACGTTGGGCGCATTTAAGTATGCGCCTAACACTTGGTCTTTTGTTTCAGCGCCAAGGACGGGCCAGCGCAGTTGAGCGCAAGAAAAGTTGAAGAGCGCGGAGAGAGAGTGAGAAAGAGAGAGAGAGAGAGAAAGAGAGTATTAGGCCGATGCAGGGATTGGCAAGCGCGCAACGCGTGACCGATAAGCGACGCGTCGCGTGCCGCCTAACTAATAGGTCAAGGTAGGGAGAGGAGCGAGCGCCGCTGAGCGGTTGCAAGATGCGCGTAAGAATTAGTGCGTGAGAGAGTCGCAGCCGAGCCCTACTAGAGTGAAGGAGTCTAAGCCTAGTCCTCCTAGAGTGCGGAAGTCCGAGCCTAGCAGAGAGAGCAGTTTGGGATAGCCGGAAGGAAGGAAGATCAACCCTACCGGCAACGGCTTTGCCAGCAACTGTAGCCAGCCCACCTGCTAGGAGAGTCAACGTCGCCTACGGATACCTGGTCAGCGACAGCGGTTAGCGACGATCTGACCAGCGACGACACCCGGTACTTCCTGCGGCAGCGCATCGCTCAGGATTCTCGACGTTGCGAGGAACAGGAGATAAAAGGTCAAGCCTTCCTTTTCTTCTTTCTCTCTACACTCTCTCTCTCTCTCTGTTGATGCGACGACCGGTGCGCGTTGAAAGAGATAGCCTGGCACTCACGTGCCGGCTATCCGAAGGTTCGCGCTAAGATTAATTTGTAGTGATGTAAGTTGCGACCGGTGAATTGTCCAGGCGCCCACGTGCCGGGCAATTTACCCGGTATTAGTCCGCGTAGTTTTTAAGTAAGTTTGTAATAGGTTAAGCACGCGATTAAGTATTAGTGAAATGCGAAATGTTTATTTGTGATTATCTTAAGTAGTTTATTGTTCTATTTGTAGTTTGTTGGTCGGTAATTTAGATTATGTTATGCGCGCGTATGTTCAGTGTGAATAATTATTAATAATAATAGGTTGTAAGTGAGATTTGATTCCTGTCGTTCTATAATTTATTTATCAACCTCCCCTCGTTCTTCTCTCTCAATTGTCATGAGCGAAAGTGCCTCACTTACCCCGAAAAAGAATTGGTAACAAAGGAAAGAGTTTTGTTACATCGTGCTTCACAGCATACTCACCTCTTTAAGCTTTTTTATTTAGAACATTTTTATCTTTGACTCTATTTTCTCTAATAGTACCTGTACATTTTAGCCCAAGCTTCTTCAAATGCACAGCGAGATCTAAGCTTGTTAAATAACTATCAAAATAAAGATGGAACATAGATATACTTCCCGTTGTAGAATTTTTTCCGCAGTATAAGTCAAGACCTAATACAAAACCATCGGAAGTACAAAGACCCCAGAACTTGAGACCAAATCGT